AGTATGTATAATATTACTTAAATTTATTAGATAGTTAAGAGATATCATGTGTCCTTACCCCATTAATCTCCAAATATCAAACTACCAGCTGATTCATATATCCTAACACAAAATTGTAAATTTCATTCCTACGGCAATCAAAACATTAGTGCACCAAAATTTTCACAAGAATTCCACACAGAGAGAGAGCAGAGCTTCTCTCTCTAGGGAGATTTCTAACGATACTTCGGCGACTCCTTTTACACTTCTAAAATGTAGATACTCCTAGAGTATAGATATTAGGGTTAAGTATAGGGTTATCCGACTCGCGAAAACTGTCCAACCCAAACTGCCCGCACCTATTTGGATGGTTTTGCAGATTCGTTAGGGTCGGATGAGGGTTATGATTTTCCTATTTTGTGTAGGGGTGGGCGCGGGTAGGTTGCGACCACGGAACCTCCAATCCGTCATCCGTCCGCCAAATTGGCGGATTAGAGAAAATCAATCCGCATCTGTCCGCCAATCCGGCGGATGTAGATTGAGCGGTTTGGCGGTTTGGCGGATGGATGCGAATCGGTTTGGCGGTTTAAGATTTTATAAAATTTTAACATAATTCAACTTGTGCACTTCCTCAAAAAAAAAAGAAAAGAAAAGAGAGTATTACAGTCAATGACTTAAAAAACTATTGCAATTACTGTATGTCTCATCCAAAAAAAGAAAGTTTGAAACTTTAGAATATCACAATCACTGTATGGCTCATCCACATATTACAATCACAGCATGATTCATCCACATAAAGTATTACAATCTTTGGTTCTTAAAATATAATAACAATTCAAACCACCAAAACCATGAACAGAGCAGTAGTAGAGATTGTATGTCTCTGTAATGTTACATCTATAAATGTTTTTGAAAACAAAAATCAACTAGCATATATCATATTTACTATTTGTTATTTTTAGAGTGAGTATTACAGTCAATGACTTAAAAAACTATTGCAATTACTGTATGTCTCATCCAAAAAAAGAAAGTTTGAAACTTTAGAATATCACAATCACTGTATGGCTCATCCACATATTACAATCACAGCATGATTCATCCACATAAAGTATTACAATCTTTGGTTCTTAAAATATAATAACAATTCAAACCACCAAAACTATGAACAGAGCAGTAGTAGAGATTGTATGTCTCTGTAATGTTACATTTATATATGTTTTTGAAAACAAAAATCAACTAGCATATATCATATTTTCTATTTGTTATTTTTAGAGTTAAATTTAAAAACAAAAAAATATAGATAAATAATACGTTTATTTTTTTCAATTCAAAAAATATATTCAAGTTGAAAACTTTTTTTCAACAGAATATTTAAACTCTTTTTCAATTGAAAACACAAACAAAATATTTAAATAAATTGAAAACATAAAGTCTTATAAATTATTAGGGGTGCTCGCGGTTAGACGGTTCGGTTGCGGCCAAAGGAATCTCAAATCCATCATCCGTCCGCCAAATTGGCGAGTTGGAGAAAATCAATCCGCAACCGTCCGCTCGTCATCACGCATCCGTCCAAAATGCGGCGGATCGGTTCGGTTCGGTCGATTTTGGCGGATCGGTGTATCCGCTGCTCATCCCTAGTTTTGTGGGTTGTGGGCAAGTCACAAGTTTTACCCGTGCCTGCTCTCACTTGCCCGCATTTGTATACATTTTTTCTTATAAATCTGGACCATTATATTTTCATGTAAGTTTTGTGTATGAGAGGGTTCGAGAACGTCGTTGAAAAATTCGAAGATCTTCGAAGATCCTTGAAGAAAAATTCGAATTCTCTAGAAGATGATGAGAGACTTAGATTCTTCAATAGTCTCAACTAAGAACACAAAAGCAAAGAGATGACGGAGATAAGAGATTGGAAAAAGAAGAAGGCAAAGCAGTTAGAGAGAGAATAATGGCAAGGCTCTCCCATGGATCTCCTACTTTCACTCTCAAGGTTGATAATGGAGAAGGGAAATTAGTTCTTTCCCAAGAGTTTTCTCTCCAAAATCCATCCCTTGTAAAGTTATGGGTGGCTGCTATTTATAGACACCTCATGATGTAGGATGAAGTCCATGTGCAAGGCACATGGGGAATATTCTCTCTAACCACCTTGTCCGAGGAGTTGACTTCTCTGAGGATAAGGAAAACCCCGAAGAAGAGATCAACCTCTCGGCGAACCCTTCTTCTTAGCCACACCTAACTAGTGATCCCCAATCATCCTAAAGGGTCAAGGGTAGTCCTAAAGGACGCCCTGCCGCATAAGGGTCAGGGATAGTTCAAGAAAACGCCCTGTCGCAAATATTGTCGAGTCTCAGGGACCCTCTAGATCGTGCCACCTCGACCCGGATATAGGCTAATTTAACCGAAAAGTGAATTTATCTCCACTCACCGTCCTCAGGATCGGGTCCTTTGTTCGAACTCCATTACGCCCATGGTTCTAGTGCGTTGATCCCAGAAAACTCCGAGCCCACAAGTGTTCTGGGACTCATTAACGGAGCGACTTCTAGATTGCGTCTGAATCTATTCGAAGCCAAGTGCTTCAGACCTCTAGGTTCGTGGATTCGAACCATTTCGAGTCTGAGTGCCTCGGATCTCTAGGCTTGCTCAATACCCTTTCGAGTTCGGGCCCAGTAAGTCTCTAAGTTCGTGGATCCGAACCTTTTCGAGGCTTAGAGCCATTCAGCCCGTTTGATGGCGATAAATCCGGGCCCACCAATCTTGGACTTGCGATAAATTTAGGCGCACCAACCTTGGACTATTGGGTCTAATTAATTTAGTGGACTCAAATTAGCTCCTCTTACATTTGCCCCTTGCGTGTATGAGAAATTGTAGTTTTCTCGGACATGCATAGTTTCACCTTGTCAGTCATGCTTCATATTACGTCTTCGAGAATATTTGGTATTGACAGAGTCTATGGATAAAACTGAGAATTCACCGTAAATTAAGGGTAAAGTTGACAACTAATAAAGATAAGAATTTTTTTTTTTCTAGAAAGAAAATTAAAACTTGAATTGTTTAATGCTTCACCAAAAAGAAAAAAAAAAACTAGACATGTAATTAATATGCCACCAACTAAGCTACTCAAAGAAAATAATAATAATAATTCTCTTCCTTTCTTGAAACAAATAAAATCAAAAGGCTCACCACCTTTTTTTTTTTTTTTTTTTTTTTTTTTTTTAAATTCTAAAGTTGTCCAAATCAAAGGCCTCAATTCATTACATATATATATATATATTTAGAATATTTGAGTCAAACTTCACTTTGCATTTGCTTCAACAACTTTCAAATCCGTGGATTTCCATAATATCCAAAGGCCCACTATCTATATATACAGCCTTAGCCCTAGAATATTTGAGGGCCATCAGATTTTATTTATTTTTTTAATATTTTCTAAGGATAAGGACAAAAAACCCTAATCCTTCTTTTTGGCCAAAACCCATTTCGGCAGGCACGGTCTCTCTATGTAGGCTTGCATCTGCTTCAACAAAAAACGCCCTAGAATATTTAAGGGCCATCAGATTTTTTTTTTTACATATTTTCTAAGGATAAGTACAAAAAACCCTAATCCTTCTTTTTGGCCAAAACCCATTTCAACAGGCACAGTCTCTCTATGTAGGCTTGCATCTGGTTCAACAAAAAAACGGCAGTCTCTCTCACTCTAGGCTTGCGACCATGTGACCAACTAGCTGTGTAACTACTGAAGACCATCGATGTTAGTACGCCGGCCGTCGTCGCAACTTCCAGGCACCGTCACCGCCCTTATTCCGGCTGCTGCTGTGTTGCGTCCCAGACCACTTCTGCATACATCTCTCAGTTTGCATCACTTCCTTAATTTCCCTGTTATGATGAAATTCATACTCTAATGAACTTTGAATTTGTGAACTTCGGTGGAAATTTGATTTGGATCATGAAGCCTACAATCTTTGTCTTGAAACAACCAGTGCTCCTTGTTAAATCTTTGTTTGTGCAAACTCTAATTTGTGTAGGAGATATGCCTTTGAAATCCATGCATGGAGCTTGAACTTGAATAAAGCTTTGACATCTAAACTTCCATTGTTGAGCTTGACTGAGGAAATCACCCATTTGATTATGAGCATTTCTATTTGAAATTGCTAGTGCTTTGTTATATATATATACTAGCGTATGCCTGTGCCTGAAGGCACGATGTAAAAGGCTTGCGACCATGTGACCAACTAGCTGTATAACTACTGAAGACTGTAGATGTTAGTACGCCGGCCGTTGTCGCAACTTCCAGGCACCGTCACTGCCCCTATTGCGGTTGCTGCTGTGTTGCGTCCCAGACCACTTCTGCATGCGTCGCTCGGTTTGCATCACTTCCTTACTTTCGTTGTTCTGATGAAATTCATACTCTAATGAACTTTGAATTTGTGAACTTCGGTGAAAATTTGATTTGGATCTTGAAGCCTACAATCTTTGTCTTGAAACAACCAGTGCTCCTTGTTGAATCTTTGTTTGTGCAAACTCTAATTTGTGTAGGAGATATGCCTTTGAAATCCATGCATGGAGCTTGAACTTGAATAAAGCTTTGACATCTAAACTTCCATTGTTGAGCTTGACTAAGGAAATCACCCATTTGATTATGAGCATTTCTATTTGAAATTGCTAGTGCTTTGTTATATATATATACTAGCGTATGCCTGTGCCTGAAGGCACGATGTAAATAATATTAGGATTAAAATATAATTATAATCCCAACACTATTTAATAAATTATAAATTGACCCATAAACAATCTAAAATAACCCTAAAAAGATGGATGAAACATGATATTCAAACTAACCTCTAATGAACATAAATCATCAAAACACCATAATAAATCAACATAAATCAAATTAATTCACAATAATAATAATAATAAATAAATAAATAAAGGGATAATCTCAAATTAACCCAAATCTATAAATAAAGTAAAAAAATTAAATATGAGAAAGAAAAATGAGAACTTGGAATAAGAACAAACGCCATAGATGCGGCCCAATTCGAAGTCTTGGATGGTGAAATTCTCTTGGGGTGCCCTAAATGCAAAGCTCTTAGATCTGGGTATTGGAAGAATTGCTCTCAATCCTTAGCTTTGAATCAAAATCCTTCTCCATATTAGCAGTAGCTCTAGACCCAACATTTTTCTCTCTAAAATTCCCTATTTTTAATATATAAAAAATAGATACATATATACATATAGTTTTTTCTATTTATAAAATAGATACATATAAAATTCCCTATTTAATATATAAAAATAGATACATATAAAATTTCCTATTTAATATATAAAAATAAATACATAAAAATAAATCTGCTGATCAACATTTGATATGTTATAAAATAAAATCTGCTGATACATATCAAATTTTATCAAACAAAATTTCTTTGTATCAATAAATCTGAGGTACATATCAAACAAAGAATCTGTTGATCAAATCTGCTGATCATTTATTTTATTTGATATGAATCAACATCTGATCAAATTTTATCTGCTGATATGTATCAATAAATCTACTGATACATATCAAACTTTATCTTATAAATCTGCTGATCATTCAAAGTTCTAGTAACTGGTTTGTATCTCTATCTGATTGATTGGGGTAAATGATTTCTTTTCATTTTATATTGTTGGGTTTGAGTTTTCAAAGGAGATTAAAGTTAAAAAGCATGTACCCCAAAGAGCGTAACCACGAAAATCCTCATAATTGGATGATCCACCACCATTGTCACCCTCAGAATCAGGTGTTGTTGCTGGAGGAGAAGCATTTTGGGAAGCTATAATATTTAATAAAAACACTAAAACAATTTGAGTGAACCCACATCAAATTATGGAATATGATAAGTACTAAACTAACAAAAATAAATAAAACAGTATATACTTATAGTTGTCTTTGTAAAATAGATAGATGGAGAGACATTATACTACAGTTTGATGTTTTCTGCTTATACTACAGTTTGATTCTTCTGTATAGTTTTTTCTATTTAATATATAAAAATAGATACATATAAAATTCCCTATTTAATATATAAAAATAAATACATTTCTCTCTCTCTTCCCCCTCTAAAAATAGCACACACTCTCTCTCTAGAAATCTCTAAAGAAGAGGACAAAGTAGAAGATGAGCAAAGCCATGGTACATTCAGATCAGACTGTCTTTCCTTCTTTGAACAAATTTGATAAAGCCACCACACCACCATTTGAAACATCATTGAGGTTGTGGCTAAGAGAGAGGGAGGAGGATAGGAATAGGGGGTTCGGGTTTGGGTTTCCGGTGAATGTTGTTGTTGTTGTTGTTACCAAGATCAGCTGATTCAGATGCAGATGTATCAGTACTGGTGGTTGTACATTGGATATTCTGGTGAACTGAGTTGGGTATGTCGTGGCTCTTGCAGTGTTTGATGACGAAGATCTTCTTCAGAGGCTCTTCTTCTGGCTTTTTCATGTCTGTTAATTGAGGGTTAGTGTTGGTCTTGGTTTGATTTGGAGGTGGGTTTGGAAGTGCATTTGGAGAGGAACAAATGGTGGTTTTCTTGCTCAAAGAACTACCCATTTTAGATGGAGAGAGATGGGGAATTACAGAGAAGAATGGGATGGAAAGGAAGGGAAATGAGAGAGAAACATGTGTTTTAGGTGGTTCTGTTCAAGAAGAACAGAGAGGGAGAGAGATAAAAGGAAATGGGAAGGAGACGTGGTAGAGAGGGAAGGTGGGGGGACGTGGGTAGTTGGAAAGCTCACAAAGAAATGTTTGGGCCGGAACTATAATTGATCTGAACCATTAATATAAATATAGGATTCATCTTAGCCGTTCAAATGAAATGTATCTCTGATACATTTTATATATTTTCAAAATCCGTTCTGCTTTATTATATAGATATATATATATATATATAGATATATATATATATATATTTTCATATTTAGTGAATTTTTAAAAGATTTTTTTTACAATTTTTTTTACTTTTTAGGTGCATTTATGTTAGGTGAGTCTAAAAAGTAAAAAAATTGCATAAAATATTAAAAAAATTCA